GATAAGGTCATGGTAGATGTCATAGACTTAGCTAAGAAAATTCCATTCTTCAAAAACCCACATGCTGCTTTTATGGAATCATATACTCCCACCAAGAATTATCAAATTCTACTTGGTTTCATAAAAGATTTCTACTGACTAAACCTGTCATTCAGCCCAGTCCCCATCATAGGGTCTATAAACCAGGATCCAACATCATTCTTTCAGAATAATGTTCCAAAGCATGAACCAATCTCAAAAACACAACACCACACCGCAGAGACAGCTAAATTCCAACTTCAGAATTAATTCCTGTGTATTCTTAGGACTTTGGCTCAAGGGATGAGACCAATACTCCCTTAAGTTTTAGTAGGAGTTAGAGAATTCTTTCTATTCCTGCCAATCCTTTATCTCTTCAGTCAATTACCAACCATGAGGACAATATCATTTTCAACCAGAAAAATCCATCCCCAAACCACTATCTTTGTTGAATCTCTTATTTCTAGCTTTGCCGAGGACGGCAACTTTGCTTCTTCAGTACAAATAGGGCTCTTTCTATTAAAATTTGCCAGTTACTGTATAGGTGGTTAGAATGGAGATATAAAGGTCATGGTCTTTAGTAAGTGTCCCTGCGTGAAACTCAGATGATTAAAATGAACACATACAACATTGTAGGAACCAGCACAAAGCCAGCGCAAAATAGACGCTCAACATGAGAATGTTCAGATGAATTTTGTTTCTTTCACTGAGCCATAAGACACTAATTATATTTGGCTTGACATTTAAAAAGCAGCAATTATATGTGATTCCAACTAATGAAGGTTCTGATGGGATTAATCATTGGGTATTCTTGGAGTACTGGGAAATATTTACATGGACTGAAGACCTAGCTTGTAAAAATTAAACTTTTCTCCTTGTTAGAAAAGCAATATATCAGAGAAGAATCTTAAAGAATAAGTTCATTTGCACAATCTCTCCACTTTACTGCCACTCCTCATGTGTAATCCATCATCACCTCTCCCTTGGAGTACTGCAAGAGCTTCTTAACTGGTTTCTCTGCTTTCATTCTTCTTGAACTTGGGTATGAACTTGGGTGAGCATCCCTGTTCACACATGTACAATGGACAGGAGTTTGAGAAAGCTCCAAGAGATGCCGAAGGACAGGGAAGCCTGGCGTACTGCAGTCCATGGGGTCACAAAGAGTTGGATAGGACTGAGCAGCTGAACAACATGAAATAAAAGAAATAAATAAACACATAAGAGACTTCCCTGGTGGTCTAGCAGTTAAGGGTTCACCTGCTGATACAGGGGACACAAATTCAATCCCTTGTCCAGGAGGATCCCACTTACCATGGAATAACTAAGCCACAACTGCACACAACTACTGAGCCCACACTCTAGGGCCAACGAGACACCTGCTGAAGCCTGTGGGCCTGGAGTCCACACTGCACAGCAAGGAGGCTAACTTCAGAATTAATTCCTGTGTATTCTTAGGACTTTGGCTCAAGGGATGAGACCAATACTCCCTTAAGTTTTAGTAGGAGTTAGAGAATTCTTTCTATTCCTGCCAATCCTTTATCTCTTCAGTCAATTACCAACCATGAGGACAATATCATTTTCAACCAGAAAAATCCATCCCCAAACCACTATCTTTGTTGATTCTCTTATTTCTAGCTTTGCCGAGGACGGCAACTTTGCTTCTTCAGTACAAATAGGGCTCTTTCTATTAAAATTTGCCAGTTACTGTATAGGTGGTTAGAATGGAGATATAAAGGTCATGGTCTTTAGTAAGTGTCCCTGCGTGAAACTCAGATGATTAAAATGAACACATACAACATTGTAGGAACCAGCACAAAGCCAGCGCAAAATAGACGCTCAACATGAGAATGTTCAGATGAATTTTGTTTCTTTCACTGAGCCATAAGACACTAATTATATTTGGCTTGACATTTAAAAAGCAGCAATTATATGTGATTCCAACTAATGAAGGTTCTGATGGGATTAATCATTGGGTATTCTTGGAGTACTGGGAAATATTTACATGGACTGAAGACCTAGCTTGTAAAAATTAAACTTTTCTCCTTGTTAGAAAAGCAATATATCAGAGAAGAATCTTAAAGAATAGGTTCATTTGCACAATCTCTCCACTTTACTGCCACTCCTCATGTGTAATCCATCATCACCTCTCCCTTGGAGTACTGCAAGAGCTTCTTAACTGGTTTCTCTGCTTTCATTCTTCTTGAACTTGGGTATGAACTTGGGTGAGCATCCCTGTTCACACATGTACAATGGACAGGAGTTTGAGAAAGCTCCAAGAGATGCCGAAGGACAGGGAAGCCTGGCGTACTGCAGTCCATGGGGTCACAAAGAGTTGGATAGGACTGAGCAGCTGAACAACATGAAATAAAAGAAATAAATAAACACATAAGAGACTTCCCTGGTGGTCTAGCAGTTAAGGGTTCACCTGCTGATACAGGGGACACAAATTCAATCCCTTGTCCAGGAGGATCCCACTTACCATGGAATAACTAAGCCACAACTGCACACAACTACTGAGCCCACACTCTAGGGCCAACGAGACACCTGCTGAAGCCTGTGGGCCTGGAGTCCACACTGCACAGCAAGGAGGCCACTTCAACAAAGAGTGCCCCTTGCTCACTGCAACTCGAGAAAGCCCGTGCTTAGCAATGAAGACCAAGCACAGTGAAAAAGAAAATAAATAAATAAATAAAAATAAACTCATGAGACCTACTTAAAAGCTTTCCACAGCAAAGGAAACCACCAATAAAACAAAAAAGACAACTTACTGAATGGAAGAAAATATTTGCAAATGATATGAGCAAAAAGGGATCCAAACAACTCAACATAAATGACTCATACAACTCAACATCCAAAAACCAAACAACCCAGTTAAAATATGGGCAGAAGAAATGAATAGACATTTTTGCAAAGAAGATATGCAGATGGCCAACAGATATATGAAAAGATGTTCAACGTTGTTAGCCATCAGGAAAATGCAAATCAAAACCACAATGAGGATTAAAGAAAAAAAAGAAAGAAAAGACAAAACCCCAAATTGTAAATAGGAACAAGAACAAAGTAGCATATACACACAAAAAAGAAATGAAAACAGAACCAAAAACAAAACAAAACTCAAGAGAACAACCAAACTAAAGAACCCAAAAAGGAAATCAAACAATTTTAAAAAGCTAAACAAACAAACCATGAAACAAAACCAAAGCAGAGTGCCAACTGAAGAATAAAGCAAAGAAAGTAAAACAGACAAAAATGATCAGAAATAATTAAAAGATAATTGAAATGATTAAAAGCTGAAATCTTAACACTTTTGGAAATAGGGATGGTCTGAGAATTTGGGCTTCCCTGGTGGCTCAGATGGCAAAGCATCTGCCAGCAATGTGGAAGACCCGAGTTTGATCCCTGGGTTGGGAAGATCCCTTGGAGAAGGAAATGGCAACCCACTCTAGTATTCTTGCCTGGACAATCCCATGGGAAGAGGACCCTGGTAGGCTACAGTCCATGTGGTTGCAAAGAGTCAGACATGACTGAGCAACTTCACTTTCTTGAGAATATTACACTAAGTGAAAAAATTCAAGCAGAGAAAGACAGATAGTACATGATTTAATTCCTTTGTGGATACAAAAATAAAATAAGTTAAAAACAAAGATACAGATCAGTGCAGTGGTTACTTGAGTGGAAGGAGTTGGGAGGATGGTAAAATGGGTAAAGAAGGTCAACACCAATACAGTATATTGACACATATATAAGGAATTTAGAAATATGGTAACAATGACCCTATGTGTGAAAGAACAAAAGTGACACAGTATAGAAGTACAGAACAGACTTTTGGACTCTGTGGGGGAAGGCGAGGGTGGGATGATTTGAAAGAATATCACTGAAACATGTATATTATCATATGTGAAACAGATCACCAGTCCAGGTCTGATGCATGAGTCAGGGTGCTCAGGGCTGGTTCACTGGGATGACCCAGAGGGATGGGATGGGGAGGGAGGTGGGAGGGGGGGTCAGGATGGGGAACGCATGCAAATCACATGCTGATTCATGTCAATGTGTGGCAAAAACCACTACAATATTGTAAAGTAATTAGCCTCCAACTAATAAAAATAAATGAAAAAAAAATCTTATTGCAGAGTACATCGTGAGAAATGCTGGGTTGGATGAAGCACAAGCTGGAATCAAGATTGCTGGGAGAACTATCAATAACCTCAGATACACAGATGTCACCATCCTTACAGGCAGAAAGCAAACAAGAACTAAAGAGCCTCCTGATGAAAGTGAAAGAGGAGAGTGAAAAAAGTTGGCTTCAAACTCAACATTCAGAAAACTAAGATCATGGCATCCGGTCCCATCACTTCATGACAAATGGATGGGGAAACAGTGGAAACAGTGTGAGACTTTATTTCGGGAGGCTCCAAAATCACTACAGANTCCCCATCTATTTGCCATGAAGTGATGGGACCAGATGCCATGATCTTAGTTTTCTGAATGTTGAGCTTTAAGCCAACTTTTTCACTCTCCTCTTTCACTTTCATCTAGAGGCTTTTTAGTTCTTCTTCACTTTCTGCCATAAGGGTGATGCCATCTACATATCTGATATTATTGATATTTCTCCCTGCAATCGTGATTCCAGCTTGTGCTTCCTCCAGCCCAGAGTTTCTCATGATATACTCTGCATAAAAGTTAAATAAGCAGGGTGACAATATACAGCCTTAATGAACTCCTTTTCCTATTTGGAGCCAGTCTGTTGTCCCATGGCCAGTTCTGTTGCTTCCTGACCTGCATACAGGTTTCTCAATTAAATTTTTTTTAAAAAAAGTAATCTAATAAAACCAGAATTAAAGGAAAGTTTCCAATCTTAACAACAACAACAAAAGAACATTTCCCAATTCCAAGAGGCGTTCAGATCCTCCTAGAAATTTTGAAACCTTCTGCTCATGTGTTGAAGGAAAACAACTCTTCCTTTCAATGGGGGAGAGCTAATGCATCTGACCCAGCGTGATCGAGTAGGCAGTCAGCAGAGAAGGAGCACAGCCCCTCCTCCCAGGGATCAGGCCACACCATCCTCTGGACTATGATTGGCTCCAGCTCTTCACTAAGGGACATTTAATGACGAATAGGAACACTGCTAAACGATCAGCCAGCAGAGAGAGAGAGAGAAGAGAGAAAGGTAGACTAATTTTGGGTGCGGGGAAAGGTAGTACGGTCTTCATCAGGAAAAAAAAAAGACTCATGCAGAGAAGTGAGAGGCTGAGAAGGAGCTCACTCTCAGCTTTGCCAAGAGTCAAGTAGTCTAAAACGTTTTCTGTGTAGGCTTCTTACTTCAGGGAATAAAAGGAGAGGGAAAAGGTTATTCTGTAGTTCAATCAGGCGAGAAGTAGAAATTCCAGGTGCCAAGCCAGAGATTCTAAAAATACCAGAACGATGACGTTTGAAGAAAAGCCTGAGGGCAATGGGAGCCTTGTAGACGAGAGCCAGCAGTACCTAGGTGCGAGGCATCAGGCAAACGGGAAACCAGGAGCAAGTGGGAAACCCAGGCTCTCTGCAAGGCAGGAGGCAAATGCGAAGTGCGGCTTGCCCAGAAAAAGCCTCAACACGTACACCTGGCAGGAGATCCAGAGACACAGTCAGGAGACTGACCAGTGGCTGGTGATCAATCGCAAGGTCTACGACGTTACTGGCTGGGCGGACAGGCATCCCGGTGGGCGCCAGGTCCTCAACCACCACGCTGGGGAAGACGCCACGGTAAGGAACTCGAAGTCTGCCCTCTCTCTCTGTTCCAGCGGCTGGGTGGCTGGGACCTTGGCTGTCTTTCCAAAAGTATTTCAAGTATGTGTTCAAGCTCCATGCTCACTCATCTCCTCCCAAACCAATTTTTCAAGATTCCTATCCAGCAAAAACTTGAAAGCTAATTGAGCCTGAAGGTCTAGCTATTATTTACACTAGGTTTGGGGTGGGCTTAGATGCTGACAGTAGGTACTATGTGTATTTCAGGTTTTGGTTTTTGTTCTTGGCATTATTTTTGTTTGTTTGTTTTGTTTTGTTTTGAAATGGAGTCATTGTCTTATAAGAAGAAAGTTACAAATAAGTGAGTAAAATCTGGAAAAAAATGTCTTCACTCAAGTAGAAATTTCTCAGACTCCTACAACTGGAGTGCGTGAAACAGACAGCAATACATCAGGTGAGCATCAAAATGTTGAATGATGTTGAAAGCATACAGTGAAACAGGCTTTTAGACTTTGTAGAGTTCTGTTTTGTTGTGTAGTTCATTCGATGTGATACACGTAATACAATCCGCTTTTATGGAAGAAGTAACTCAAAGCAGAAGTAACTGAAATCAGTGGTTAAGTGACTGACCCAAGTTCATCCAGCAAGCAGATCTCAGATTCAAAACACTTATCCTGCTTAACTTTCAGTCTTAACCACTTTCCTTCACTGTTTTTCCTCATAACTCTCCTCCACCAAAATAGCTGAAAAAATAGACTTTAAATGGATGCCTAAAATACGACACATCATGTGTGTTAAGTTGCTTCAGCTGCGTCCAACTCTTTGTGTCCCTATGGACCACATTCCGCCAGGCACCTCTGTCCTTGGGATTCTCCAGGCATGAATACTGGAGCGGGTTGCCGTGCTCTTTTCCAGGGGATCTTCCTGACCCAGGGATCGAACCTGTATGTCTTACCTCTCCAGCACTGGCAGGAGTGTTCTTACCATCAGCACCACTTGGGAAGCCCGAAGACACCATACACACATTCAAATGCGTGACCTCACTTAAGCCTCATCGTAAGGAAAGTGAATGGTATTCCCATATTAAAGATGGAAAAAACTGATACTAAAACATGAAAATAATGTATCTCAGACCACACAAATAACAGTGACAAATTTTTAAATCAGATAGGCTTTTTTTTTTTTTTTTTTTACCATATCTGTCTAATCAGGGTCTTCTACCATCTTCTCATCTTGATTCTGCAGTCAGAGGAATGTCTTTCTGAGCAGACCCTTCCACATCCCCACCACTCCGGTCTGATGTGATATTTTTAAAACAAAGTTCAACCTTTTCCTGGGAAAGTGTGCATGAGCTTCTGGCCCATGATGGGAGTCTCACATGCGTCAGGAAGACCCTAGGAAACCAGAGAGCTGAGGGTAGAAGAAGCCAAGTGACAGGCATTTGTGCAAGAATCAGGAGAAAGATCAACAAAAATAAAGGGAAAAAATACTTGTTGATGTATGACAGAAAACCACAAAATTATATAAAGCAATTATACTTCACTTAAAAAAAATAATGTGACAAAAAAAGGAAAAAATACCACAGATCTCATCTCCACAACACAAAGAAAATATGGGCAATGCTTTTCTAATACAAGTCACAGAATCAGTTCAGAGGATGCTTTAGAAAAAATATGTACCTTCAACCACCTTGAATATAACTGGTAGATAGATGTAGCTTGCACAAGCAGCTCAGCTGATGAATTTGTAATTTGCTGGTGAGTTTTTATCTCCCAGAAGTCAGAGAAAGACCATGTTTCTGCATCCAATTCTAGGCAATAAGGAAGAATTGAACATTATGGGAAAATACGCATGACACCTTAGAATGTGTGACATGAGGATGAACACCCTGAGCATGGTCAGTCGTGTACCCTAGATTTTAGAAGGCAGATCCAGAATGTTCAGAGAAAAGTCTCCAGGGGATGATGGCTAGAGAAGAATGGAAGGGTGGCAGGAGAACTCTGACAACCACAGTATTCCATGGCTGCTCAGAGTACATGGAGCCTGAGGTGCAGTAACTGGTTACATAAGCCTGGGAAAGTCCCTGAAATGCTCTGGAATTCAGCTTCATCATCTACATAATGGGAACGACCTTACCCATCTAATTGGTAAATGAGACGAAAGCTTGTAAAGGGTTTAGCATAATACCAGATGTACCTTTCATTAAACCATAGCTAGTGTTATTCATATCACAGCATCCATGGCCTCAGAGATGTGACTCACATTTCTTGTTTACCACCTGCTTAGAAGTCCTGATTGTTTGTTGCCAACTCTTTGGGAGCAGAGGAGTATGTGGTGGAGAAACGGCATGCTCTCTAGGGAAGGAGGGAAGAACATGAAGTCAGAGAACCTGAGGTCAAATGCTCTCTCTCTACAGCCTAAAAAGCTGTACCCTGAAAGGCAAATGTGCACCAAATATGATCTCTGTACACAAGCCCTGGACCATAGCTGCACCTGCCCAGAGGGGAGCATCTTTCCTTATTTCCATAGAAACTCTTCCCCAAGCCCTCATCCTTCTCATGAAAAGTACATAATGATGCCAAGGCAGTTTGTTCCATAGGGTCACTCACCGGTTCATTCATTCATGTGGTGAATCGTTCTAAAACTTTTTTAGGTGTCCACTCTAATGATTAAGAGTACAAATTTGGGAATGAAAGAGGTGTGGTTTCTACCTGGGCTCCACCACTTACCAGGAATGTCCTGAGAAGCTTGCTGAAGTTCTTGGAACCTCAGTTCCTTTATCTAGAAAGTGGGATAATGATACTTCTATCTTAGTATGGTTGTCAAAGTCAGTGGAGATAAAATAAAGGTTTTCTTCTTATATCTGGGACAGATTAAACACTCAAAAATGGTGTTTATTATTACTTAGTTATTCTGAGATAAGTTGTCATTTTTTCCAAGGAATTTTACTAGAGTAAGTTAGTCGCTCCATCATGTCAAACTCTTTGTGACCCCATGGACTGCAGCACAACAGGCCTGCCTGTCCATCACCAGTGCACAGAGTTTACTTAAACTCATGTCCATTGAGTCAGTGATGCCATCCAACCACCTTATCCTCTGTCATCCTCTTCTCCTCCCACCTACAATCTTTCCTAGCATCAGGGTCTTATCAAATGAGTCAGCTCTTTGCATCAGGTGACAAAAGCATTGAAGTTTCAGCTTCAACATCAGTCCTTCCAATGAATATTCAGGACTGATTTCCTATAGGATGGACTGGTTGGATGCCCTTGCAGTCCAAGGAACTCTAAAAGGTCTTCTGCAAAACCATATTTCACAAGCATCAATTCTTTGGTGCTCACATTTCTTTATATTCCAACTCTCACATCCATACATGAATACTGGGAAAAAAACATAGCCTTGAGTAGACGGACCTTCGTTGGCAAAGTAACATCTCCGCTTTTTAATATGCTCTCTAGCTTGGTCATAACTTTTCTCCCAAGAAGTAAGTGTCTTTTAATTTCACAGCTGCAGCCACCATCTGCAGTGATTTTGGAGCCCCCCAAAATAAAGTCTCTCACTGTTTCCAATGTTTGCCCATCTATTTCCCATGAAGTAATGGGACCAGATGCCATGATCTTAGTTTTCTGAATGTTGAGCTTTAAGCCAACATGTTCACTCTCCTCTTTCACTTTCATCAAGAGGCTCTTTACTTCTTCTTCACTTTCTGCCATAAGGGTAGTGTCATCTGCATATCTGATATTATTGATATTTCCCTGCAATCTTGATTCCAGCTTGTGCTTCCTCCAGCCCAGAGTTTCTCATGATGTACTCTGCATAGAAGTTAAATAAGCAGGGTGACAATATACAGCCTTGACGTACTCCTTTTCCTATTTGGAACCAGTCTGCTGTTCCATGTCCAGTTCTAACTGTTGCTTCCTGACCTGCATACAGGTTTCACAAGAGACAAGTTAGGTGGTCTGGTATTCCCAACTCTTTCAGAATTTTCCACACTTTATTGTGATCCACACAGTCAAAGGCTTTGGCATAGTCAATAAAGCAGAAATAGGTGTTTTACTGGAACTCCCTTGCTTTTTCAATAATCCAGCAGATGTTGGCAATTTAGTCTCTGGTTCCTATACCTTTTCTGAATCCAGCTTGAACATCTGGAATTTCACGGTTCATGCAATATTGAAGCCTGACTTGGAGAATCTTGAGCATTAATTTACTAGCATGTGAGATGAGTGCAATTGTGCAGTAATTGGAACATCCTTTGGCATTGCCTTTCTTTGGGATTGCAATGAAACTGACCTTTTCCGGTCCTGTGTCCATTACTGAGCTTTCCAAATTTGCTGGCAAAATGAGTGCAGCACTTTCACAGCATCATCTTTTAGGTTTTGAAAGAGCTCAACTGGATTTCCATCCCCTCCACTAGCTTTGTTCGTAGTGATGCTTCCTAAGGCCCCCATGACTTCACATTCCAGGATGTCTGGCTCTAGGTGAGTGACAGCATCATCGTGATTACCTGGGTCTTGAAGACTTTTTTTGTACAGTTCTTCTATGTGCCCTTGCCACCTTTTCTTAATATGTTTTGCTTCTGTTCGTTCCATACCATTTCTGGCCTTTATTGAGCCCATCTTTGCATGAAATGTTCCCTTGGTATCTCTAACTTTCTCAAGAGATCTCTAGTCTTTCCCATTCTATTGTTTTCCTCTATTTCTTTTCATTGATCACTGAGGAAGGCTTTCTTATTTCTCCTGGCTGTTTTTTGTAACTCTGCATTCAAATGGGTATATCTCTCCTTTTACTCTTTGCTTTTCATGTCTCTTCCTTTCAAAGCTATTTGTAAGGCCTCCTCAGACAGCCATTTTGCTTTTTTGCATTTCTTTTTCTTGGGGATGGTCTTGCTCTCTTTCTCCTATACAATGTCATGGACCTACATCTATAGTTCATCAGGCATTCTATCTGTCAGATCTAGTCCCTTGAATCTATTTCTCACTTCCACTGTATAATTGTAAAGGATTTGATTTCAGTCATACCAG